TCAAAGATCAGATGTTCATATGTGTGTGGGTTGATATCAGAGCTTTCAATTCGATTCCATTGGTATATCTGTCTATTTTTGTGCCAATACCAAGCTGATTTCAGGACGATAGCTCTATAATTGAGCTTGAAGTCAAGGATGGTGTTGCCTCTGGACGTTGTCTTGTTGAACAGGGTTGTTTTGGCTATCCTGGGCCTTTTGTTTTTCCATACAAAATTGATTATTATTATTTCAAGGTCTGTGAAGAATTGTGATGGTATTTTAATGGGGATTGCATTGTATCTGTAGATTGCTTTTGGTAGAATTGCCATTTTTACTACATTGATCCTACCTATCCAAGAGCATGGAAGATCTTTCCATTTTCTGAGGGCTTCTTTAATTTCTTTCTTTAAAGACTCAAAGTTCTTGTGATACAGGCCTTTCACTTGTTTGGTTAGCATTACCCCAAGGTATTTTATGTTGTTTGTAGCAATTGTAAAGGGTGATGTTTCTTTTATTTCTTTCTCAGCCCTTTAATCATCTGTATATAGTAGGGCTACTGATTTTCTTGAGTTGATCTTGTAGCCTGCCACTTTGCTGAAGGAGTTAATCAACTATAAGAGTTCTCTGGTAGAGTTCTTTGGGTCATTTATGTAAACTATCATATCATCTGCAAATAGTGAAAGTTTGACCTCTTTCTTTCCAATATATATCCCCTTGATCTCCTTTTGTTGTCACATGGCTCTGGCTAGAACTTCAAGTACAATACTGAAGAAGTATGGAGAGAGTGGACAGCCTTGTCTTGTTCTTGATTTTAGCAGAATTGCATTGAGTTTCTGATCATTTAGTTTGATGTTGGCTGTATATAGTTTTTATTATGTTTAGGTATGTTCCTGTTATCCCAGATCTCTCCAAGACCTTTATAATGAAGGGGTGTTGGATTTTGTCAAAGGCTTTTTCCGCATCTAGTGAGATGATCATCTGAGTTTTGTTTTTCAGCTTGTTTATATGATGGATTACATTGATGGTTTTTCGTATGTTGAACCATCCCTGCATCCCTGGGATGAAACCTACTTGATCCTGGTGAATGATTGTTTTGATGTGTTCTTGTATCCGATTTGCCAGTATTTTTTTGAGTAGTTTTGCATCAATGTTCATGAGGGATATTAGTCTGAAGTTCTCATTCTTAGTTGCGTCTTTGTGTGGCTTGGGGATCAAGGTTATTGAAGCCCCATAGAAAGAGTTTGGCAAAGGCCCTTCTGCTTCTATTGCGTGGAATACTTTGAGAAGAATTGGTATAAGCTTTTCTTTGCATTTCTGGTAGAATTCTGCACTGAGGCCATCTGGACCTGGGCTTTTTTTTGGTTGGGAGTCTTTTGATGACTGCTTCTACTTCCATAGGGGTTATAGGTCTATTTAAATTGCTTATCTCTTCTTGATTTAGTTTTGGCAAGTGATAGCTATCCAGGAAGCCATCCATTTCCTTTAAATTTTGAGATTTTGTGGAGTAGAGGTTTTCAAAGTATGACCTGATGATTCTCTGAATTTCCTCAGAGTCCATTGTTATGTCTCTCTTTTCATTTCTGATTTTGTTAATTTGCATGTTCACACTCTGCTGTTTGGTAAGTTTGGACAAAGGTTTGTCTATATTGTTGATTTTCTCAAAGAACCAACTCTTCGTTGCATTGGTTCTTTGTATTGCTTTCGTAGTTTCTACTTTATTGATTTCAGCCCTCAATTTGATTATTTCCTGGTGTCTCCTCCTCCTGGGGGAGTTTGATTCTTCATGTTCTAGAGCTTTCAGCTATGCTGTTAATTCTCTAGTGTAACTATTCTCAAGTTTCTTCATGTGGGCACTTAGTTGTATGAACTTCCCCCGTAGAACTGCTTTCAAATAGGTTGGGGTATGTTATATCTTCATTCTCATTGAATTCTAGGAAGTCTTTAATTTCTTTTTTTATTTCTTCTTTGACCCAGGAATGGTGCAATACTGCATTATTCAATTTCCATGAGTTTGTATTGTTTCTGCAATTTGTGTTGTTGTTGAATTCTAATTTTAATGCATGGTGGTGTGATAAGATGCATGGAGTTATTCAAATTTTTTGTAGCTGCTGAGGTTTGATATGTTGCCAAGTCTGTGGTTGATTTTTGAGAAGGTTCCATATGGTGGTGAGAGAAGGTATATTCTTTTTTATGTGGATGAAATGTTCTATAGATGTCTGTTAATCCCAATTGGGTCATTACTTCTATTAGTCCCTTTGCTTCTTTGTTGAGTTTCTGTCTGGTATTCCTGTCTAGTGGTGAGAGTGGTGTGTTGAAATCTCCCAATATAAGTGTGTGTGTGATTTATATATTATTTAAGTATTAGTAATGTTTCTTTCATGAACATGGATTCCTTTGTATTTGGGACATAGATGTTCAGAATTTAAACTTCATCTTGGTGGATTTCTCCTGTGATGAGTATGTAATAACCTCCTTCATCTCTTTTGATTGATTTTATTTTAAAGTCTAATTTGTTAGATATTAGGATTGCTATCCATTTGATTGGAAAAATCTTTTCCCAACCTTTAACTCTCAGGTAATGTCTGTCTTTGAGGGTGAGGTGTTTTTCTTTAATGCAGCAGTAGGATGGGTTATGTCTTTGAGTCCATTCTGTTAGCCTGTGTCTTTTTTCTTTTCTTTTCTTTTCCTTTTTTTTTTTTTTTTTTTTTTTTTGGTTTTACGAGATAAGGTTTCTCTGTATTGTTTTGGAGGCTGTCGGTCCAGCCTGGCCTTGAATTCACAAAGATCCACCTGTCTCTGCCTCCCGAGTGCTGGGATTAAAGGCATGCGCCACCACCGCCCAGCAGCCTGTGTCTTTTTATGGGTGAGTTAAGGCCATTAATATTGAGGGATATTAATGACCATTGATTGCTCATTCTTCTGTGATTTGGAATGGTTGTTGTTGTTGTTGTTGGAATTATGTGTGGAATTCCATACCCTCATTCTTTTGGCTATTGATAAAGTGGGATTATCTAATGCCTATGTTTTTTTGGTTGTAGTTAACTTCCTTGGGTTGGAGTTTTCCTTCCAGGACTTTCTGTAGGGCTGGGCTAGTGGATACATATTGCTTGAATCTAGTTTTGTCATGGAATATCTTGTTTTCTCCATCTATAGTGATTGAGAGCTTTGCCGGGTAGTCTGGGCTGGCATCCATGGTCTCTTAGTGTTGGTAGAATATCTATCCAGGACCTTCTGGCTTTCAGAGTTTCCATGGAGAAGTCAGGTGTAATTCTGTTAGGTTTGCCTTTATATGTTACTTAGCCTTTTTCCTTAGCTGCTCTTAATATTCTTTTTTAATTCTGTATATTTGTGGTCTTGATTATTATGTGGTGAGGGGACTTTTTTTGTGATCCACTCTATTTGGTGTTCTGTAAGCTTCTTGTACCTTCATTGGCATGTCTTTCTTTAGGTTGGGAAAGTTTTCTTCTATGTTTGTTGAATATGTTTTCTGCCCCTTTGAGGTGGTTTTCTTCAACTTCTTCTCTACCTATTAATCTTAGGTTTGGTCTTTTCATGGTGTCCCATATTTCCTGGATGTTTTGGTAAAGGAGGTTTTAAAAAAGGTGTTGGGAAGCATTTTTGGTTCAAAGTGAAAGTTCATTGATATCAAATGAAGTTGGTCAATGATTGTAGTAATTTTATATTGTTTTCTCTAATAACTGTCTTATATTCCAGGTTCACAGAATCCTTGCAAGGTTTGTCTAATTTTTAGCATTTTTATAATCAAATTGTATGATAGAAATTTTATAATCAAGTTGTATAATCATTTTATATGTAAGTTGGATGTAAAAATATGCACCAATTTGGGCACATATTTGTGAAAATACAGAATATTTTTCTAGTTGATTCACCTTAAACTAGTAACTGTGTAAATGATAAAGGTAAATAATAAGCTCTAAGTTTGTTAGGTCTACGTCAATTATTGCAAAGTCATGCTGAGTAAAATAGCATTGATTGGCTTCTAGTCACTGTTACCTCCAAAACATTTGTTTACTCCTGAACTGTGATTCATGTAGCTTCATAACAGTCTTAGGGAGAAACGCAGTACACTTAATCATGACTTTATCAAAGCCCAGAGTATGTTCATGCTTTTAAAAAAAGCACTGTGAATTTTGCTTATGAGTTTGGACAAGTGATGTTTAAATAAAGAATTTCTCATGAAATATTAAAAGGTACAGAGACAAAAGACAATAAGTAAACTTTTGATTCTTCTTTTGAACATAACTAGTATGAATATAAAGTCAATAAGGAAAAGGAAGTGAAATTACCAGTGAAGTACATTTTGGAAACTCTTCTGAGAATAAACTCAGACATTTATCATGAATCAGTATGAGAAAAAGTTATGTTTCTAATGTGGAAGCAAGTGAATTGCATGGATAAGCAATAAGTATATTTTTGATGTGAGTGATAGTCAAAATATGTCCCATTACAAATCTGAATTTCTACAATGCAGCTGTCAAATTTATAGCCCAAGCTTAAATTTTCACATGAAACTCCTTACAATTCATGCAAGAAAATTATTAACTTGAGGTTGAAATTTTGTTACTTGACGAGCCATTGCTGAGGGAGAGTATGCTGGTTATTTCTTACATAGATCTGTTCAGTAAAGAGAAAGACAGGCAGAGGGGGAAAGGGAGAGGAGTGAGAGAGGAGGACTATCACCCTCAAGGCTCATTTCCCAGGGACCCATTTTCTCCCTCTAGGCTTCAACCTCTAAAAGTTCAACCTCTCAAAACAGTAGCATCATCTGTACTCCAAATATTCAAACACATGAGTAATAGAGTAGGCATTTTATATATAAGCCATAGCACAAGGGAATCCTCATTACATGGAGGTCAGTTTTCTCAGCATAAACTTTATGGTGTAGTAAAGAATAGAAGATAATAGGATAAGTTATCTTGTGACGGGAAACAAGTCACACCAAGGATGCCGGGAAAAAGGTAGTTGGATACTTATTAAGATAGAGAGAAATAACTTACATGAAAAACTGAGAACTGATAAGAGCTCTATGGTCTCCGAACTTTGGCTAGAATCCAAGAGAACAGGTACCGACTCCTTTATCCTCTTTTATCCTTGAATTCTCCTAGGTATCTGTAACCACACCCCAGGTACATGATCTCTCCCTATAGTAACTGTTGTGGAATTCCCAGCCCAGTTCTGAAGTTTCCCTGGAGACCCCAAATAAATACTCAGAGACATATATTAATTATAAAATTTTTGGCCATTGCCTTGGGCTTCTCATTGGCTATCTCTGTGTTAATTACTAACCCATTTCCATTCATCTAAGTATTTGAATGTGAACTTATCTTACTAGAGAATGCCAGACCTGCAACTCCTTTCATGCTACATGATGTATGCTCAGCATCTCTGCAGAGAAGACAGATTTCCTGTTTGTCCCTGCTTACATCCTGATTCTGTCCAGTTATGCCACTTCCTGTATGGCCAATCAGCCAATCAGTGCTTTATTCATTAGTCAATAAAAGAAACGTAAACACAGAAGAACATTCCCCATCAGATATCCAAAGTCATGAGAAGAAAAAAAGCCACAAACTAAAATACTATATAAATGAAATCTATCCTTCAGAAATGAAAGAGAAATAAAACATTTGTTCAGGCAAAGAAAACATAACAAAACAAACAAACAAAACCCAGGGATATCCACTGTCAGAATTTGCTCTAATGAGTCAGCTGGGGTACCTGCATAGGGGCATGAAGATTGAGAAAATGTAGATAAAAGAAACAGATAGAAACGCAGGATAGATTCAGGAGGACTGCCCGGTCCAGGCCTTTCAGCACACCAGACAGCCCTGAGCTTAATTTAGGCCCTGCTTATATATAGATTAGAGACAAAGCAGCATAGTCAACTAACCATCTCCCTGCTCTGTTCTTGAATGGAGGAACAACCAGTCTCATTACCTAGCATGTGGGTCCTACTAGCAGCAAGCAGCTTCATTCCCTATTTCTATGTACCTACAGCTGGCATCAGTATCTCATTGGAGAGATAATACACTGTTTCCCATGGGCTTAATCTGAACTTTCTTGTGGCTTTCAAGGAGACTGGAGCAAGCAAGCTTGAACTCTAATGTCTTATAAGTCAGAATATACTCCAGATGGAAACTGAGTCACTTGTGGGCTCTCACAATCCACCATTACAAAAACCACATGACTATACAGAATTCAGCAGAAACAAATTCAAAAAATAAAACGTATGTTAAATTTTTTAGTAATTTAACATAATTAAACTTTATTGCAACATGAAATTACTGCTAGGACTAATGACACAGACCTGAACCCTAAAACTCAAGAATCCATGATACCCCAGAGAAGTGCAATGAGCCAAGATCTCCTGACCAGATTGGGAACATAGGAGGAGGGGAGAAGGAACCAGGAAAAAGAGAGGGAGAGAAGAGGAGGGGAGAAGAAGGCATGGGGGAGCAGGAAGGTTGAGTTGAGGTAAGAATAGAGGAGAGCAGGATAAGAGACACCATAATAGATGAGTCATTATAAGCTTGAGGAGAGAGCTGACACTACTGAGATCTCCAGAAATCTACAAGGATAACACCAACTGGCAAACTAAGCAATAATGGAGAGACTAAATTAATAGCCCCTCCTTTATGATAAGGTTGATAACTACCTTATATGCCATCCTAGAACCGTCATCCAGTGACTGATGGAAGCAGAGACAGATACCCACAGCTAAACGCTGAGCTTAACTCCTGGAACCCAGTGACAGAGATGGAGGAGTGATGAACAAGGCGGTCAAGACCATGATGGTGAAACCCACAGAAACAGCTGACCTGAATGAGAGGGAGCTCATGAATTCCAGACTGATGGCCGAGAGGCCAGCATGGAACTGATCCAGACCTCCTGAACATGGGTGTCAGTAAGGAGGCCTCGGCATTTTGGGGGGCCTTGGTTACTAGATCAATGTTTATCCCTGGCATAGAAATGAACATTGGGAGCCCATTCCAAATAGAAGAATGCTCTCTCAGTCTGGACACAGTCTAGGTCCTGCCCTGGATGAAATGACAGACTCTGGAGATCACCCCAGAGTGCCTCACCCTCCCTGGGGAGTGATATGGGAATTGGGTGGGGGGCTGGAGGGGTGCTGTTGGAAGGACAAAGGAGGGGGGTGTGAGAGGGAGCTGGGATTGACATGTGAAGCATTCATGCTTCTAATTTAAATAAAAACATATATTGAGGAAAAAAAGAATCTAGGGCAAGAACATTGATACTAATTGGTCAGGGATCATGCTAGAAGAGCAGAAAGAAGCTACCAAAGTCATGTGAAATGGCTCCCAATGAGCATTAATGTGGTGGGTATGTCTCGGAGAAGCAGTGACCCCAGGACCATGTTACCTGAGGACCTCGTACAATTATTGAATGCAGCTCTGTTTATGTCCCTCAAAGTTAACATATCCCTCATTGCTGGGGGTGTCCTTCTGCACGTGTTTCTCTTATTTGTTGATGAATAAAACACTGTTGTTCAATAGGGCAGCAAGGTAGGTGGGGCTAGAGATAAGGAAGATTCTGGGAAATATAGTCAGAGTGAGACACCATGTGAGACCACAAAGGGGTCAGAGGTCCAGAGCCTTTTCCAGTATGATAAGGTCATGTAGAAATACTTAGATTGATAGAAATGTGTTAATAGTTATGACAGAGCTAACCAACAAGAAACCCTAGCCAATGGCCAAGAATTCTATAGTTAATATCAGTCTCTGAGTGTTCATTTGGGGCTGACGTGGATGCAGGGCCAGGCTGGTGGGAAAGAGTGCTCATCACACCTCAACATCTATGAGTTGCATGTAAATCTAAGGGCATTGCCAGCCCCTTACCCTGCAGTATTACTGGTACTTACAATAATAGTGATCAGCTGGGTGGCACAGGCCTTTAATCCCAGCACTCAGGAGGCAGAGGCACGAGGAACTCTGTGAGTTTGAGGCCAGCTTGGTTTACAAGAGCTAATTCCAGGACAGCCTCCAAAGCCACAGAGAAACCTTGTCTTGAAAAACCAATAATAATAATAATAATAATAATAATAATAATAATAAAGTAATTGACTTTTTCATAGCATAGCTGCTGGAGCAGATCAGTGATTCAACTACTGTTACACCAAGTTTATGAGACCCCCAAAAGACCACCAAGGAGCTGACTGACCAACGTAGATGTATAAGGTATATTGCCCTATCCCACTGCAGGAGGCACCATCTAGTTAGCTGATGCACCATTCCCCAGAGGGATTAAGTTCCTTGTCTACTGTAAGGACTTTTAAAGGAAAAAACTGCAGGGTTACATTGGTGGGAGGGGAGAGGAACATGATTGGCTCCTGATTGGTTGACACTCAGGGGAATTTTTCAAAGTCAGGTTTTGGCATAGAATACCCGTGTACCAATTATTCTCATTGGTCAGTGCTGTAAGGGAACATTCTGCAGTTTCTATGGCTATGTCTTGGACTTACAGGTAGCCTGTTGTTTACCAAACTGATAGTTTTCAAGAACTAAGCATCCTGGAGACTGTTGGGCAAAGTTTGTTCTCTCCTGGAGTTTCTTTGTAGGCAAACACAGTCTCCTATAGGCTAAGGGGAAGGGTTTGGTCTGTCCTGGAGTCTCTTTGTGACATGTGCTGAGTCAGAGGCCTACATGTCTTTTCTGCAGCCTGTCATGGCTGCTAAAGCAGGGGGCTGGGTAAGGGTCTGGGCCCCTTCATTACCACCCATAGAAAGAATTTAGAGGTGCAGATTTTTAGTAAAGTTAGGTTAAGGTGTTTTTGTTGACATGGAAAACCCTGAGAATCAATTTAAACTTTAGAAAGAAGCAATTTTCATAGTTGAAGGAAGGACTCATGGAGGTCAAGGACAGGAACTAAGGTCATCCAGGTATTCCTAGGTGAGGCGCCTTTCTTGCTAAAGAAGGCTCAGTGACCAAAGGCAGTGATTAATTTTTATACCCATTTTTGCCCTTGGCTTCCTTGGTATGATTTCACTAAAATTTTTTTGATAAGAAGGTTTACACTCTGAGGATGAAAATATAAATGACTGTTTTATATACACATCTATGTGTATATGTGTTTGTGTTTTTAGATTGGTGATTCTTTTAAGTTTTTGTAAGATTACTATTGGTATCCAGGTATTATGCTGGTCTTGCCCCCTGACAACCATCAGGGTATGCACATCGGCACTCAGGCAGATACTTGAACAGCTCAAAGGGCCTTGTGTTGCTATGCTAGGCGTTATGTGGCTGCATAAGGACACTGTACGCATATGCAAGCTTTTTCTTTTAAGGGAGCACCTCTACCTGTTGACTCCTTCTTCTTCTTCCTTCTCCTCCTTCCCCTTCATTCCTCATCCCTTCCCCCCTTCTTCTCTGTTCCTGGTTGACCAACATCTCCCCACCTTGTTCCCTTCATCCAACAAACCTCTAGTGGTTTTATTGAAGTTTGTGGTTTGTGTTCCATTGCCTACTTGAGATTAAAAAATAAAATGATTGATCTTTTCTTTTTTAACTGCAAAAATGCAGCCTGCCAGTAAAAGAACTGGCTAAAATGAATGCCTTGCTTGCTTACACTTTGTTAATCTGTAAAATGTTGCTTAAACAGAATATCTTGGATGCTGGTTGCTGGTGGAGATCACCTTTAATCCCAGCACTTGAGAGACAGAGGCAAGCAGATCTCTGTGAGTTTGTGACTAGCCTGGTCTACAGAGTGAGGTCCAGGACAAGGTCCAAAGCTACAGAGAAACAATGTCTCAAAAAACCAAACCAAAACAAAACAAAACAAAACAAAAAAACAGAATAGCTTGGTTACATAGACTTCGTTAATCAATTTTAAAAGAATCACTGCCTTGTGGTGGATATATTATGGTAGAAAAAATTAATACAAAGAAGAAATTTAAACTACTTTGGGACTTCTAAGGAAAATATGTAGCTTGTTCTCATAAAGTGATTTCTTCCTGTATGAAGATTTTAATTTGGTTTTGGAAAACATGTAACTTATGGTTGGGAGGTAATCTTTCCTCACTTGGAATTTTTTGTCTTAGGAAATTTAAAAGGTAAAAGAGAAAAATAAAAGACTAGAA